TTGTTCAAGTATAATTGCTCTCATCGCAATCATGCCGAGTAACCATCATCCTGTGTTCCAGTAAGCAAATCGTATTACTAACAACAAAATATATAATCAGTTATGGTGGTAGGGCCAAGAGGAGTCCAATTCAGTCTGTAATCGTACGACATCAACAAAAGAGAAGAGGGAAAATAGAGAAAAGCAACAGTTAACTCAGAAAAATGCGGAACAATAACGGTGCACAAGAAGCTTTCTGTCCACTTACACAGGCGTAACCTGTTAGTTGTCCCTTTAAATGTCCTACTACACTGTGCAATTACAAGCATCACGCATATACTTTCCTATTGGTGCTCAGATCCAGCTGGTGATGACCCATCACGTTTAAGATTTTGCTATAGCTTTGATTAATATCATGACTGTAACTTGTTGTCTTGTGTTCTACTGCACTGTGGTGTGTTTTTTAGCAAGTGTGTAGCTTTTACCCTCTTTAATACCTCAAATTGCAGACATACATTAATTCGATCGATGTTATCTGTAAAAGTCAAATTACAGAAAATGAAAGTAGACAAGTGTGGTTCAGTATGCTCTTTCAGGTTGAGCAATGAGAAGTTACGCTGGTTAGTAGACTTGAATAAACTAGTTGTTCTCATACTTTTGGTCAGAATCTGTCGGATTTCATCGTCTCGCTTTTTTTTTTTTTTTACACAAGTCCTCATGCATGTCCCAGAGTGTGTCAGCAATCAAATCTCAATGGAGATGTATGTTAGACGCGAACACTTCTTTAAATGTCATCTTGCCTTCATGTCATCATCTCTAAGACGTTTTTCCGCAATAAAATTGTTGGCACATCTCTCATGTAGCAACTTGTGTGTAGGGATGGACGGTCAAGTGATAGGCCAAATGTTTACGGCCTGACGGCTTCTTGTCATTCTTTACAGGTAGAAAACTTCGCTGCGCACGCGCGGCGAACTCCGCTCATCGAGTAATTGGTTCCTCAAGCTTTTTGTAATTTTTTTTTTTTTTGACGCTGAACTTTCTCTCTGATTCCAAGTTTTGATTATCTTCTTGAACCATTTCAAATCTTATTTGAAGATGTTTTTCCGCAATAAAATTGTTGGCACATGTGATGTAGCAACTTTTTGTGTATGGATGGACGGTCAAGTGATAGGCCAAATGTTTATGGCCTGACGGCTTACTGTCATTCTTTACAGGTATGTGCGCGCTGCGAACTCCTCTTATCTTCTGCATTTGGGATCTTCAGCATCGGACAAATCTATGACGCGGACGTGACGCCATAACCGAAAAAAAAAAAAAAAAACTGAGAACCAGAACCTCGTCGGTCACGTGACTTGTAAACATTAAGCCAACGTGACTAAAATGAGTACGCGGCCGTTTCCGCGAGAGTGGTAACTGACATGTGTGTTCATTAAATGGCGTCGTTTAAAGAGACTAGAAACTTAGTTTTGGAATGTTATGTTGATGCAATAAACGACGGCGGAAACGAAGACGATTTTACGCTCCTCTATGACATTAATCAGTCAAAAAAATCCCGAGTTTCCACCCGAAAACTACGAACTCTTTAACTTCGATGCCTTGGACGCGGTCGAGTGTGTAGCTGACTTTCGTGTCGAAAAACAAGATATTCCAAGGTTGGCTGATGCTTTGGGTATCCCTTCGGACGTGCCAGCAAAGGAGTATATGTGATGGTACTGAAGGACTGTGTATGCTTCTGCGACGTTTTGCTTATCCCTGTCGCCTCAGTAATATGATTTCACTGTTTGGACGTCCTGTTCCCGTTAAAAGCATGATCACCAAAGAAGTTATGAATGTTACTTACAACAATCAACAACAGAGACTAACCCAGAAGAATCAATTCCTTTTAAGCCTTGCCTCTCTGCAAGAGTACGCAAATGCAACTCACCGTGCTGGCGCTGCTCTTGGTAATTGTTTTGGATTTATAGACGGTACTGTGCGTGCAATCAGTCGTCCAGGAAAAGACCAAAGGCTAGTTTATAGCGGACATAAAAGGGAGCATGCCCTTAAGTTTCAGTCTGTGAGTTTGCCAAATGGAATCATTGCCAATCTTTATGGCCCAGTAGGTAGGAGTGAATTTCTACTACATAACTCAGCTAACTAATGTTGCTACATCACTCCCCTTTGTAAACACCAATGATTATATTTTAATATTTTGTTTTAATTAACTGTTGGCAAAGATGAGTTTTTAACAAAATAGGAAGGCATTGCTTGGGAAGCATTAAGTCTTGAAGTTAACCGAAAGATAAAAATATATAAATAAACTATCGACCACCTGTCGTGATCGAGTGTACATGCACCCTCAGAGAATGTAACTCGTTAGGGTCCTTTCAAGGCAACTATGATTATCAGGTGTTATGTTTTAGAGCATGTGACCTGTGTGATATTTCGTCTTTGCATGGTTATTTTTCTTTTCATAGGGATGTATGATGCAGTTATTAGACCATCATTAACGACATTGATATATATATTATTGATTCTAGCTAGCCTGGCCTAATGATGTTTATGTCTTTTATGCCATATATCTGAGCACGATAAGTTTTTATCAAATAAGCTTTCAGGAAATAACATAGGCACTTCACTCAAACACAATAATTAATCCAAAATAATTTATCACAGGCATAAAAATATCTCACAACTTGGTTGCACAGAGCTAACAATACAATATTTTGTTTTTCATGGCTGTTAGGAAAAATCAAATGACAAGTTCTTCATAAGCTCAGAAAGATAAAAAAAATTCCTTTTTTTCTAGTTTCTCGAAAAGTTTCAAGAAAAGTTCAGCCTGCTGTTGTTGCTGTTGTTGTTGCTGTTGTTGCTGGAACAGCATTGCAAAAGGTTGCATTTGTTGTTGTTGTTGCTGTTGCAACTCTTGCAAAACCTCGTTGTATTTTTTTGTTCAAGCTCTAGCTGAGCCTTCCCTAGCTCAATCTCTTCTGCCCTCCCCTCCTTTCTTTTTTCGCTCTTTTCCCGCAGGTAGGCCACGGTCTCACTTCCAGCAGAGCGTCTTCTTTTGGGTTGTTTGCAGTCCACAGAATTTTCTTTAGCATAGACTAAACCTTATAAAGTGAATAACTTCTCGAGTGATTTGTTCCTCAATCTTTTTGTCATTTAATTTTTCTTTTTTTGACGCTGAGTTTTCTCTCTGATTCCAAGTTCTTTCCAAGTTTTGATTATCTTCTGGAACCATTTCAAACCTTATTTTAAAGCATCTTTGCCGTAATTTTCGAAATATTAGTCTGAAGATTGTAAGCAAGCAATTGCGAAATAATCCTAAATTGTTTTCCTTTCTAATTTTCTGAATCTATTTAATTAAGTTCGCGTTTTTGCGTGTTGCGTAAGAATTACGAAACTCCGGTTGGTAGATATTTTCGCCAGTCTGCGAAAATATATCTCCTTGAACCATTTCAAACCTTATCTTAAAGCATCTTTGCCATAATTTTCGAAATATTCGTATGACGACTTGTCTCTTAAATTTGTTTGATGACAAGTATCTGTAACGACTAGAATTTGCATTTCTATTTTTTGTCAAGCAACTGCTAAATAATTCAATATTGTTTTTCTTTCTATTGTTCTGTTTCTATTCAACTGAGTTCGCGTTTTTGCGTGTTGCGTAAGAATTACCTAACACCGGAAACTGTATGTTTTCGCCAGTATCCTTGTCGTTTTCGTTTAAAAAATTTCATAGCTAGTTGATTTCATTTAAGTCAGTTGTTTCGTTGGTTTTTGCTAGCGCCGCGTTGCTCTTAGCTAAGAGTTTTTGCTACCGGTCAAGGAGCCTGTTTCTCCAAAGTTCCAGTAACTTAACGGGCCCGAGGCCATGTTTTAAAATCAAAATTTAGGGGATAGGAAAGCAGGTCATGGCACCCGAACCAGTCCTTTTTGTTTCTTTAGTCCATAATTTTTTTGTATCATTTCCAGAACTTTTAAAATCCCTTATCGTGTACGAAAACAGAACAACTTTACTGGCCCGTTTAGCTACGTAAGTTCGTTTCTATTTCATTTGGTTTTTTCCCTTTTTTTATCGTAGCTCCTGTTGTTTTTATATTTGTACTTAGATATCTGTATTAATTTCTTTTCAATCGAATCACACGCACACACACACACACACACACACACACGCACGTTTCTACGAGTATTTACATCTAAATAGAAGTCCATCTGGAAGATAAATTAAATGTGCATTCGTTTTGTGGCATAAGACGGTTATTCATCTACAATATCGATTTGTTTCGGATGAATTTACGACCACTCTTTTAAAGTGAAATGATGAACGGTAGACAATGATGTTTCCATCGATTACAAGAAATTTCGCTCCAAAAATATTTCTTGTCTGACGTATTTTTTTTAAAAAAAGATGGTTTATTTCACAAAATTTACCTCAATCAGAAAGTAAATTTCATGTTTTACGAATAATGCTAAGAAATATTATTTTATGGAAAATCTGTTACATAAAACGGAAGCTTGTGGGTGCCGAAGTCAAAGTCAATACACGCACGTGACATTTATTGTTTAACAGCTTCTTTTATGAAGAAAAAGTAAATTATACTTATGATTTGCTTACTTGTTTTCGCCCTTTCTGTCTTTGCGCGATTGGCGTTCAATAGCCTTTTCAAATAAAAAGGAGTAGAAAACAGAGTGGAAAACATCCTGTTCCATGGATGGTGAATTAACACAATCACGCAAAGGTAAAATGTTGAGTTACTATTAAATTGGAAAAAAAAGAAACATTTTCTCTGCAAAAATTACACGGAAATAACAGATGGACATGTCAATATTTAGGTTTATTAGCTAAAGAATCATTTTCAGCTTTAGTTCGGTTGGGTTTGTTAAAAAATCTGGATGTTCTTCGAGTGAAAGTTAGTATGCTTTTAAGAGGTTTATCCTCGATCAGAGTATTATTTATGCAGGTCTTCTTATTGTTTTCATTTCTTTCGCAACAATCTTTGCTGTTTTACATAATTGTTTTTCAGACAATATGGGTCACAATACATGTATCTCTAGAATACTCGTACAATATCATTATTGTCGCTACTACTGGAGGCATGAAGATTTCTCTTCAAAACAGGTGACGTTGTGTTATAGAACTGAAAAAGTTTAACATTTGGTACAAGCGTAAAACGTAAAAAAAAATTACTTTTGGACGTAGAATGAGAACTGAAGATCTTACGATTTTTTCGGTGGACGCTTTATTGTCGAACTAAAAGAAGGTGTTGGCTGCTTTTGCTAGATAATTTTATACACATCGGTAGAATGTCCAAGAGAGACTATAGCTTCATTGTAAACAGGGGTAATTCAAAAACGCATGTTATGAATTGTTTACTTTATTGTTTACAGCCTATAGAGACGGTATCAAAAAGATGGACTAAATCAGTTACAGAGAAGCTTGAACTGTTGTTAAAACGCGGACGGCAGCCTGAAGTTAAAAGATCCCATCCTGGTGCTTACACAGCGTTTTTGTCAGCACAATTGGCTTAACATGCCAGTACCGAGACCATGGAAGACTCTAAGGTGGGTAAATTGGCCTCCAAGCGCGCCAGAATTAGTTTTGTTTTCTTCCGGTTGTTTCGCGCGTCTCAAAAACGCCCCAGCTAAACTTCTCAACCTACTTAGAGAGAACTGATTTGAGAATAATAACTAGAGGTTGAAAGGGAATTAGCTAACAAGAGCCCGTGAAATGTTTAGGACTTAACCAGAAGTGGATCTTGGGATCTTAAGTTACTCCATACCTTCCCGGGTCAACTTTGATCAAAAAGTTTTCTTTCCGTTAAATAAAATAGAAAAATGCATTTTTGTTAAAGATTTTTAAACTATGCTGTACAGGTGTTTGTGATCGCACTTTGTATTTGAAAGTAAATGAGTCCATAGTTTATCTTAAAACATTAACAAGGGTGAAAAAGGTCCATGGTCAAAACCAAAGCAATATCAGGACCAAACAAGCGCAAAAGTGCGCAGTGGTCTACTTCCTTCAAAGATTTGCTCTCGTACAGAGAACGACAAAGACTCGCGGTTCGCTTAACCTTCAGGGAGGAAATATCTCTTCCCCAGGTCTATTTCATACTCGACAACCGAAATTCTATTTGTAGAAGCTTATCAGGGGTAACATTCCTGGGAAACTACCACTTTTCTATGAAGAAACATTAGGGACCTTAAGAAACCACGACGGCGACGCCAAGGAAGACTTCGATTAAAAAATGAATTTCTACTCTCAGTTAGAATTTCAAAAATGGCTGTAGGAGCTTACTGTCTCATAGAGCGCCACAACTCAACTTCAGCATGACGTATAAAATAGCCGTTGAGTTCCAAATGGAAATTAAAATAATTTGCCGTCGAGGTTTCGGTTCGCAGACGACGCAAATTTTGGCGATTTCACGTTGTTAGGGAGCTTTAGCAACGACGACGGCTACGGCAACGAAAACGTCGTGTCGAAATCTAACTTTTCGTTTTTGTAACTCTTTCGAGGTTATTCCAATGTGTTTCACTTAGAAAATGCTGGCGAACTATTCAGGGACTATATCACTACGAACAGCGTTAAAGTAAGGAGAAAGAAAGAAAAATTAACCGTCATGCGCTCACGTTCTCGAGAAAACCCAAAGTTTGGTTATTTCACGTTGTTGTTTTGCCAAGAACGGCAAAGAAATGTACCAAAATGTTAAACGCAGGTGCAGGGCGATTGTTTCTGCTCATTAAGCCTATTGTTTTCTGCCGTTCTCGTTGCCGTCGCCGTCGTCATTGCTAAAGCTCCCTGTTGTTTTGCATAGGACGGCTAAGAAATGTACAAAGTTTCAAAACGCAGGTGCTGAGCTATTTTTCTGCCAATTAGATCTCTTGTTTTTCCACGTCCTCGTTGCCGTCGCCGTCGTGGTTTCTTAAGGTCCCTATCTTGCCTGTTGTGAACGTCAGGGCTTCAACAATAGCATAGGCTAGCAGCTAACGAAGTAAGCCTGATTTTCAAAACATTTTCCGAGAAGAAGTGTTGAGAAGAAAAAATTCGCAATTCCATTTGAATTAAATCCTTTGTCTTCAAACTAAATTGATTGAGCATGAAGATTGGACGAAACTCAGTCCGAACTTTAACTGACCAATAAGACCAAATTGCAAAGGTTTTCACAGTTTTTTTTTTAATTATATTAGTCGTTCAAGTTGGCTGCCTCGGAAAGCAGCTTGTTTGCAAATTTTTTAATACTAGAACTTGGCAGATCTATCGATAAAGGCCTCTAGGAAGACAGGAAAATTCTTACCTCTTTGTAAGATTGGTCGTTTGCAATTAACACCATGCTGTTTTATTTCGTCATCTATCAAGACAGAGGAATTCGACAGGTTGGCTAAATTTTCTGTTTACCGGCTTCTGTCGCCATAGAAAAAGAAAAATTGAATTGACTGACAATTCAATATAAATCTGCATTTATTAACTTTTTCAATGATTTAAAGGCTATGGTGGTTTCCTGAAAAGAAAAAAAAAGACTGAAAAAATATTTATTCCTCTTTTTTTAGTTTGAGAAGGAACCTGCTAAGGTTTTCAGCAGCTTTTAGTTAATTCAGCTCTGGAGCAAATACTGTTACATGAGGTAGAATGAAATGTTTTCTCGATATCCCTCATTTTGCAGTCAACGTAACCGTTTACATTTTTAATTTGTAGATCAGGTCACAGATCTTTCCAGGTACAGATGCCACGAAAGAAAATTGCCTTCGTGGTTGCCCTGATTTCGCTGACTCATGTAACCCAAAGCCATGCAAGCCAACAGTGCAGAAACGATTTATATTCAATTTATCAAATGATGCTGAGGGGCCACACTTACAAGACGTTTAAGGCTCAAGCACGTTCGCTCGACTGCAGAAATGCCTGCCTCGCTGACGTTAGATGTCAAAGCTACAACGTAGTCATGTTCGAAAACCTGTGCGAGTTAAATAACAGAAGTAAAGAGGCTAGACCAGGGGACTTTATTGAGAACGAGAGCAGATATCACGTTTGCATAGTTTCTGAAAGAGGTATCAATACGAAAAAGTGTACAGTTTTTTTTTTTAAGTGGTTGCACATGTTGGTATTTGCTGCAGATTATATACGGCGGACAATTTCAAGACTTACATTAACTTTATGATCTTTAACAAGTAGAGAAGCCTTGACCATGTACTGTTCTGTTGTAAAGCACGCAGGAAGCGGCTCTGAGAGCACAAAGAAGTGTAGGGAGAAACATGAGTGTTTTTCCCCACTTTTGGAGTGCTCATGCCGCTTCCTAATTACCGTAAGATATGAACGTTCGTAATTTTAAACTCAGACTGACCATTTCGTTTTTTCCTTGAGGATTTTCGTCTCTGCACACGTTATAATAATGCAAATTACGGCGCTTGGCATGTAAACCTTAGTTTGGTTCTTCTGTTGCTACTTGCCGGCTTGCTTAATTCGAAATTTTATTTCAAATAACATAAAATAGCCAGACAAAGTACAAATTGGCAGATGGCTTGGAAGCTTAAGCTCAGCTCCGTGCTCTATACTCTGATAGAGCACGCCATTTCAACCAAGGGCAGCGCGTTATATCCAAACTTTAATATAATGATTAATGACTAATGATTAATTCATCCAGTTCCCCTGGCTTCCATTCCTGAGCTGCCAGCCGATTCGTGCAAAGAGATCAAGGCCAGTGAACAAGACCAGGCGATCAGCGGAAAATACTGGTTGGATCCCATGCGATCAGGAAATTCCATCCTGGCTTTTTGTGACATGGAAACTGAAAGTAAGAGAGAATGTATTTAGAAAAACTCAAAAGTACTGATTTTACCCAAGATACTAACATTGGTTATGGTACTGCACCTTTACATAAGCAAAAATTTCAAATGCTCTCATTATCGACTGCACTGAATTACAGTCTAACAGACTGACATAATAATACTAATATTAAGTGTGCTACAGTTCATAAACTACATCTAAGACTACGGAACAGAACAGAAAGACATAGATTCTCACTTACTCATTCACTCTTGGTCCATTACATTGATGTTACAGCTTAAATACTTAGTGATAAAATGGTGGCTGGAAGCTTTTCGTAGAGACTCTTGCTTTGCAGTTCTCTTCCATCGACATGCTGAGGGAAGCACACAAAGGAAAACAAACGGGAAAGAATCTCGCTCTGCTTAGGGGCTGATAAAACTATCTTTTTCTCCCTCTGCACAAAAAGCTCCCCAATTTTGTTTCATAGGGCTTGAAAGCTAAGAGAATGCGTCTTTTTAAAACCAAGCGGGTCGAGAAATTCATGATACATTTAATTAATCATTATTTGAGAAATATATATATATATATATATATATATATATATTTCTTTTTGTGGTACAGCTGCTGACTACTGCATCAAACATCAATGTGCAGAGCACGCCACGTGCGTCAATGGGCACTTTAGGTACACGTGTGTGTGTAATTCGTCGGGATGGACTGGAAGCCTGTGCAAAACCGGTAAATTCCTATTCTTTTCTAGTAAGCAACTTTTTCTGTGGCTGGAATGATATCGTAAGAAAGGCTGCGATTTTTATTTTATGAAATAAAGTGCCACGATACAGTCACTTTCGATATGGATCGCAAGGCTTTGACTACAAACTGCGAGTCTTAGTCAGCCGCGAACAAACGTTATTCCCCTTCCTGTCTGTGTTCTGAACTATCAATGAATGCATACGGGTTGATTTTGTTTTGTTTTTTGTTTCGTTTTGTTTCTTTTTTTTGTTTTGTTTCTCTGCTTTGTTTTGTTTTTTAGTTGTTTCAAGATTTCAAATTAATTTTCCTCAAAAACCAGGTAGAAATCGTAGAGGCTGTCTTATTTTTCCGCAACCGGCGAGTGTATTTACAGAGATAATCACGTAATTTCGATTGCATTTGGAAAAAAATGCGTACAAATCTATTTCTTAAAGACCAAAAAATTGTACGAGCAAGTATAAGTTGGGCGAATACTCTTTGAAGTCTTCAAAAGAACTTCCGAGTGCAACTTTTTTCCAAATTGGACGAGAAAAATCACGTGATCACCTATTGATGATATAAGTGTAAACAGTTTGAAGATAGGACACAAACAGCACTGATATACATATTGAACTTGCACATTTTGATTATGAGTTGACGTTTCGTATGTACTCCACATACATTTTCAAAAGTAACCGTTGAAATTTAAAACAGCTATGTCTATATACCCACAGCTATGTATATATACCCACGGGTATCAACGAACGCTTTTCATTCCACTAATTTATTCGTGTTTTTCTCGTTGCCATGTTCCCACCAATCACGTAGCTCCATTTTCTGCCTTTTAAAGCACACACAACCCACAATTCCTCTATTCGCTCCGACGAAGGGCTAACGCTCGAAACGTCAGCTTTTATAATCGTAACGGTGGCCAATTTACCATTTCAACTTTGTTGATATATTCAAATTATTTCGTTACCCCCACCGACGTAGCCCCAAACAGTTTCTTTAGAAACTATCAGCCTTTATATATAACTAAGGTGAGGGGACTGGAACCAAGATTAAGCAAAAACTTAACAATAAACAATAACACTAGAGCAGATTAATAAAGCAACAGCTTTTCACTTCCGACGTTCTCGTTGAAAGCTGGCTCAAGTTCTTGAAGAAGTAAGGACTCTGATTTTACAATGGTAGTCTGTTTTTCCTTTTGCCAAAATATCAAAATGATCCCACTTGATATTATATCCAGTGGCCTTGACGTGGTCGGCAATGGATGCAGTATTGTCATTTTTAGCGAGAGCCTTAAAATGTTCGGTTTTCTATCGTGAAGACGTCGTTTAGTTTTACCAATGTAACAATCATTACAATCCCAGCAATTTGTTTTGTAAATAACCCTGGATTGAGATAGAATGAATATATGAAGTTCATATATTTTGAACTGCGGTATTAGATACGTATGATGCACGATCCTCGCAGTAGATAGCGCTATTTATGCAATGGCGAAAGTCAGACCTGAAAAAAATCAGGCCTGTACGGGACTCGAACCACTGACCTCTGCGATACTAGTGCAGCGCTCTACCAATTGAGCTAACAAGCCAACTGGGAGCAGGCCGTTAAGTTGATTCGTAATAAACCCGTGAAAGTGATAAATGAGATAGAATGAATATATGAAGTTCATATATTTTGAACTGCGGTATTAAATACGTATGATGTACGATCCTCGCAGTAGATAGAGCGCTGCACTAGTATCGCAGAGGTCAGTGGTTCGAGTCCCGTACAGGCCTGATTTTTTTCAGGTATGACTTTCGCTATTGGATAAATAGCGCTATCTACTGCGAGGATCGTGCATCATACGTATCTAATACCGCAGTCCAAAATATATGAACTTCATATATTCATTCTATCTCATTTATCACTTTCACGGGTTTATTACGAATCAACTTAACGGCCTGCTCCCAGTTGGCTTGATAGCTCAATTGGTAGAGCGCTGCACTAGTATCGCAGAGGTCAGTGGTTCGAGTCCCGTACAGGCCTGATTTTTTTCAGGTCTGACTTTCGATATTGCATAAATAGCGCTATCTACTGCGAGGATCGTGCATCATACGTAACACTGGATTGTTGTGAACGATTAATACGGTCCTTGTAAGGAAAGAAAGATTTTATGCATCGAGTGTTGTGAAAAACGATTTTCAGGTTAACAAAAGAATAGAATTTGCACACACATGATTTCAGGTGTTTAGCGACTTGGTTGCTTTGCAAGCCTAAGTAGGGAAGTAGGATAATGATATCTTTCTTAGGAACTGTAGACAAAGGGATGTTATGCTGATGTCTGTTTTTGTTCAACGCATCTTTGAGATGATAGTTGATTATGCCTTGTGGGTAGCCGTTCTGAAGAAGGAGTTTTCGAAGATCATTGAGGGCAGATTGTAGCAAGGAGCCAGACGAACAAAGACGGTAGTAGCGATAAGTGAGGGGGCGGATGAGGTTTATTTTGTACTTTCGTGGGGTGAAGGAATCCTATTTCGACTAGAGACCTGTGAAAGTTTTCTTTCGGTAGATGGATGTCATGAAAGTGTTGTTTTGATTACGTGTGACAGGAATGTCCAAAAAAGGAATTGCAGTGATTATTCTGTTCAAATTCAATGGTAAATTTAATACATCTATGACAGTTGATTAAAAAGTGCAAAATCTCATTTGCACTGTCTTTGCTGGGAAACATGATGAACGTGTCATCAACGTACGGCAAAACAGACTACCATTGTAAAATCAGAGTCCGTACTTATTCAAGAACTTGAGCCAGCTCTCAACGTGAACGTCGGAAGGGAGAAGCTGTTGCTTTATTAATCTTCTCTAGTGTTATTGTCTATTGTTAAGTTTTTTGCTTAATCTTGGTTCCAGTTCCCTCACCTTAGTTATATATATAAATAGCTGTTTTAAATTTCAACGGTTACCTTTGAAAATGTATGTGGAGTACATACGAAACGTCAAGTCATAATCAAAATGTGCAAGTTCAATATGTTTATCACTGCTGTTTGTGTCTTTTTGTTTTGATCAAATTACGATGGCCCAAGAACAAAAGCATTTTTGAAGATAGCTTTTTATTTTATACAAAAACTCCCGAGCTGCGCGCAAATTAAATCACGATCATACCCTAAAAGTCTCAGTGAGCATTCGGTCGAAACAACCTCTTTGATCTAGACGACAAGTGTTATTTTTTTGTTCATTATTAATCTTCATTATTGTTATAAATATTATTGCTATGATTATTATCATAGGTGTTCTCATAATTTAAGTTTTCTTAGTCGTAGAAAAGTTTAAAGTCCGGCTGAACAGTTTCTTACCTTTTTTAAAAGAGTTACACCTTTCCACTATATCACCTCTCTCGTGCATTGTGTCACGTGAAAGTACATTTTTCTAAGCCAATCGGATCGAATAATTTCTTTCGTTTATATCCTTTTCAACTTGTCAAATGTAAACAGCAGGATCCACGTGCATTGGCTGATTACTATATGATCTTTGCTAGATATTGACGAATGCACAAAAGGCTTTCACAGTTGCCACAGTGACGCCTCTTGTAAGAATACTGCAGGTTCATATATTTGCACTTGCAATTCAGGCTACCTTGGAGATGGATTTAATTGCATTCCTGAAGGTTAGTAACAATACTGTCTATGCAACCGATCAATGCAATGAAAACTGGAAACAAAACGAGATGAATCTGTGAAATGCCACGTCAACCTCGCCTCCCCCCCCCCCAGCTTCATTACAACGCAAAAGAAATAACGAGGTTAATATGCAGCCATCTTCACCGAGCAATCTTTGTCAATAAACGATTTATTATATAGAAAAAATATTTTACTTTGATAAGAATCAAGAATGATTGTTTATTTTGAGAGCCGGAAAAGTAAGCCAATGTGTTTCTAGCCCAGCAATAATCTGAAGAGGGTTGTTAAATTTATTTTTTGTAGTGACTGTCTTCTGTCGCTTTTTGCGACTTCGTTGCCGACAGTGTCCAAAAGTTACGAAGGTTTTAAGTCTGCTCCACGCACCCCTCTTTTCTTGCGTGGGATCAAAGCAGGCAATCCCTTGGCTCGGGCAGCCAATCAGAACACAGGATTCGCTTCATCTTGCCCGCGGGCGCTGCTAGTCATAAAATAAATGCCAAGACTGCAAATACGTATGTAGGGATTTTTAAAAATTCCCCCTGGTTTTAGTCATACGCAGTGGTAATCCACAGAACGGAACCAAGAAGTTTGCGTTAGCAAAACTGATTACTTATCTGGTGAATAGTAGGCAGCGTGTTTGAACCTTTAACCGTAAGAATTTGATTATTTAAATCATTGACAGAGATATTTTTTTTTCTTTTTTTTTTTTTTTTACCGAACTATTTGGGGTCGCTAATCTTGTGTCCAAGGTCCCGTCATTCACGTCTCTGTAAAATATCTGGGCACTAGATAAGGTGACTCCACTTCCCATCATTAAGACTGTATTTATCTTCCGCCCTATTATTTCAGAATGTCAAAACTATCAGTCTCTAACTTCTGAAACAAGAAATACAAAGTATACAGCACCATCAAGTCAAGATCAAAAGTGTGATAAAAGTCTGGGTCCTGGTTGGTTTCGATTTCAAGGCGCCGCCGGCACAAAGATGCCCACTGAATGTGTTTCCTGGCATAGCTGTGGTACTCTTAGACCTGGATGGTTGAAAGGTGGTCATCCCCTTATGGAAGACGGGAAGGTATCCAGACAAGTTAATTTTCGCTCTTCAGGCAATTGTGCCTTTAAGACCACAACCATCCAGGTGCGAAACTGTGGCACGTTCTTCGTGTATTACCTACACAACGCGCCATCAGGAGGTTGCCATAGATACTGCAGCACTGGCTAGATCATTTCAGACACTGAAGAACCTAACGAGCTATTTCTTCGATAACTTATCATATCATACCCTAAGAAAAGAGACCAGACAGGGGCGTAGCCAGCCCATAGGCCCGTAGCCCCAGGACAACAATGATTTCCGCCCGCTTGACTTTTAGAATATGACTCATGCAAAGGTTGAAACAAAATCGAATTTTCTTTCCAGAAATACTTTCAAGTTCTTGAATAGCAATGAAGCAGCAAGAATAAATCTCGTGTTAAAATTTACTCGGTTTGCATGCTTCTGGATCTCTGAAAATGCTATTTAACCATACAGCAGGTACCAGGTACAAGATAGCTACTAAACTGGCAGTGTAGAAAAAAGCTCAAATCAGAAATAAAAAATAGGTCCGCAATTCGTACATGTGGGGGCTAGCAATTACTGGTGGAAGCTCTTGTTGGAACTACTGTTGTATTCATGCGAACACCTCCAGTTACCACCATTTTTGTAAAACCCTGTTTGAACTGTTAGTTAAACTATGCAATGAAGAGCTGTTGAAAGGGAGCGGTCCCATAAGTGTCTGCATGCACTTGGGGTACCCAACTGGACTTTTCCACAGAAAGCTACCAAAGTTGGCTTAACGTCACGTTGGAAAAAGAGAGTTAATTCTAGCGTAGTGTGTTATAGTCGAATTTTCAGTCCCAGCTTGTTCGCTGAAGCTGGCCAAAAAGCTAAGAGGGGAATTTAGAAGTCATATACAATCCATGATAGCTCATGGTTAAACCTACAAAGTCCGAGAACTTTGTTGTTGTCTCCTGTCAAACTGTGACCTCTACTGTGAACACGCGCAAGTATTTACCACTAAAGGCTTGTATAGTATACGAGCACATTCTAACTTATAGTTCTCAGCTCAACTAAATCTGGCGCTCAAATTTTTAGAGTCTGAACGCTTCGCGAAAACAGTATCGCAATGTAAAAAGTCAATATGCTTCGGAATCGCAAATAAAAACGTGAGAGTCGTCGCTGGCGCGGTGAGGATCGGAGAGCACCAATCAGAACAGATGCCACTTGAACTTTGGCCAAGTTTAGGTTAGCCAATCAAAGATGAGTAAAATTTTCGATCCAATCCGCATGGCATGGACCAAGTTTAGTAAAAAACAGTCACGAGGGCGGACAAATATGTCAGGTCTCCGTCAACTACCAGGAGCGCAGCAAATGCCAGGAACTCATCAGGTTCATCGACGAGAACAGCAAGTTCAACGAAAAGCAAAGCAAGTTCAACGAGAAGCACAGCAAGTTCAACGAAAAGCACTGCAAGTTCAAATATGGAGACCATGGTAAGTTCAGTGAGGGGCACGGAAAGTTCAATGGAGGCAACAGCAAGCGGAATTGTCCCTGAAGCAACTACATCGCCAAGGCGTTCAGGCAACGAAGCTATTATAGGCTATGTTCACCAGTTGTCTCCGATAAAACGTAACAAAAAAACACTATTGACTATTCTACACTGCTGTTACAAACTAAAGATGAAGAGCCGCAAGAAGTGTTGCTGTGCTCTAAACACAAAAGGCCGCTGTTGGTGGATAGCGAGAAATGTCGTACGCTTGTAAAGATTCAACGCATCACCTACATTTCAGATGGCGAGAAGATAATTATAAATTACATGACCAAGATATCAGTACCTGGACAAACTGAGTACTCATTTCAGTTAAAAGAGAGCCTGATGCCGGCGCGTACGCAGCCCGTTTCAATTGAAGACATACTAAGTCGTACCAATGAATGGGAGAATGTCACATTGAGCGGAAAAGTAGTACGTGTTGGCGACATTTCAACGGTTGGTGCGAAGCAGTTGAAATTGGCGGAGACTACGTTTGCAGATTCCACTGGAACTATAGTTGTAGATAGATGGGAACAGCATATTCCAATGATTGAAAACGGGAAGTTTATCGTATTGCCCCTGTTCAAGTGCGTTCTTGGGCTGGAAAGAAGAAACCTTCTACTACTGTACGTTCAGTAGTAACAGAAATTATTGCTGATGACACACTTTCAAAGGTGTTCGTTTCCGAAGAAGATCTGAACACATTAGACTGTAATGAAGTAACGGTGAAAGCGTCAAATATTCACTCAGTTCAGGCAGTTGAAACATTCATTCATTGTTTAAATAAGTATTGCTCAAGACGACTTCTCCAACCCTCGGCGAGAAAAATAGTGCACTGTGACAGGTGTGGATACACTATGAGATCTAGTAATTGTACTAAACAAGTCTGTGCAAAGATTGTTATCCAACTTGAAAGTGGCGAGCAAGTCAATTTAACGGCATTTCAAAGTGTTTTGAACAGCATCTTTGAAGGAGAGATTTCTTCGCTGTCAGAAACCTACGTGGCAGAAAAGCTTTTACTTTTGGAGGAGGTAATTATTAGATATAATTCTGATACGCAAATTATCACAGGGCTTCAGTTGTAGAAATTGTCTTAAATGAAAGCAAAAGTTATTCACTTTTATTAATTTTGAAATGGAATTACGAGTTGCGTTGCGTTGCTGAATTATGTACTGGAGAAAACGAATGATGTAGTTGAAATTGTTGGATATTTATTTCATCAGGCATTGTTGACACTACTATATTCAGGAATTTAAAATTTAAGTCAATTTAGATGATATCTTGTGGCATGTTACTCTTTTCAAAATCAAAACGAGTTGAGTTAGTTTTGAAATCGCTACAATAACAGGTCTCGTTGGGTTCTAACTTGCTTGAGAAAACCAATAAGTTTATAATTGTTAACTCGGAATAACTAGCTATTCCAGGCTGGACTTTTTTCGTAATTTGGCGAATAGTTAGTGTTTCAGGCATTTTTGAGATTAATCGGGAATTAAAATTGAAGTCAGTTTAGATGATCTGTTGTGTGACATGCTACTGTTTGCTTTGCGAAAATGTCATTGTCACGTAATGCGAAGGAAAGTGTTCTCTCCATTTTTTTTGTTCTAACCCTGTGTCACTTGAGCAGAAACCATTTTGAAATGCGAGGTACCTATGTTGCATGAACGAAGCGTCTGTTGAGAAATGCATTTTCCCTGCCTTATTACCTTTTGCACCTATTTTTGTAAATAAACTTTTGGGTGTCCTAGATAAAAAGGGTTTTGGCTTGATGGCATGTGGATTGAATAGACTAGAACTTCCGGTGGACTTTTGTAATAAAATTTATGCAGTTTGAATGCTTGGCTATTATTCATTAATTAACTCCCTGAAATTCCTTGAAAGAGAGACTTGTAATAAAGGAGTTTATAACTGGCTTCAAAAATGGATGGAGGGTGAAGTTAAATCCTGGTGACGAGTGATATTATTAATCTGATATCAAATGAGGGGAAATGTGCCTCTCTATGTACTTAGATGAGTTTGGCATACCAGGTAGCCTGCATGTCAGGTACTCAAGAGAGATAAAGAAAACTAGAAGTGTTTTTGAGCTCCTAGTTTTCTTCCCTCTCTACTACCCCTTCGAATGCTGATGTAACTCAATGCTGCTGGACTGTAAAACAGTGGGTTGTATGAGAAATAAGAATATCAACACCCTGCATTCTTCTCATGCTTATGCTAAAAACAATTATTGGATGAGGTTTTAGTGATGGCCAGAATAATCAAGGTATTGGTAAGTGTTATCAGCCAAAGGTTGAGGCTGATAACACTTACCGAGACCTTGATTATTGTGGATATAACAAAAACCGAATCTAATAATTATTATTATACATTGATTTAAAGAAAATAAAAAAAATGCATTATGTTGAAGAAGTGAATCAACCAGGCATGTTCTTACTTCGCTGTGTGAACTTGACATTGCTTTTGCTGAATAATCTGCTAGCATATTAGTGAATAATCTGTAGGTTGCACTGTTTCCTTGAATTAACTGTAGGCTTTTAGTCAATGAGAATACAGATGATGACTACAATGTATAATAAGTGTCATTGTTGTGTCCAGGGGGGACAAAGACTTCGCACATTTCTGAAGATAGAACCTGATGGTCAAGAATTAATGTCACTTTGTTAAGAGAATAGGATCTATTTATATGATTGCATCTCATCAAGAAAACTGCTATCATTGTTAACTTTAAGCTGTCAAGTTGCATGGAGTTTATGGTAGTTTATAGCCTTATATAATGTGACAGGAATAATCTCTTTCCAGCAGAGGTAAAGACAGTTACTGTAGTAGTATCCAATCAGTGTGTTTAATACTCTTCTGTTTTGATGACTACTTGCTCAGTTAAATAATGTCAGGCATTTTAGATTTCATTAACAATAACAAAGAGTTTCTATTGGATAGATTCCACGAATGTGCAGTCCTTGCAAGAGTCCAGTCACTCAATTTCCAAACAGTTTGATGTTGGATGTTATCATAGTGTCAACATAAGGAATGTTGCACCAAAGAGTTCTTCATTTCCTTGATTGTAGTCAGCACATACTGTTCTTGTCGAGTCGATCACTTTAAATATTGTAGGACCTGGATTTTCCTCCACATCATTTGCTTGCCTTATAATCAATGGAATATAAATATTGTAGAATTTCATTTGTGTGAACCAAAATTTCACTTCATTCCTCATTTTGTAATGCCCAACCACTTGGTTCAACGTTGGTAAGTAAAACACATTTAAATACAACATCATAAACGTTATGTTCCAAAATCGCCCTCTCAGACGCGATAAAACAGCCTTTGTCTTAACAAAGCTGTCATGACTGCCAATCCTTGACCGATATTGTTCCATGATATAATGTCGAACAATCGAGATGTCAGCGAAAATTTCGATCCAGTATTCTTTTCTCAGCGTCTATTTCGGGCTCTATCAGTGAATTTTCAGTAGCTATATCAGTGCTATAAAGTGCTCCCTCAGTGAGGATCAAGCCGAGTAAAAAACATTGGCTTGCGTAGGCGTAAAAGCCTCTTATGAACTGAAGTGCAAAAATACACAGGCCGCACTGACTTCGTGCTATTAAGGCTACGCTGGTTAGCTTGACTTCAAGAATTGCTGTAATGACGAGAAACTGCAGCAACAGCTGAAAATAGTAAGATTAAGATAAAAACAAAAAGACACTAAGAACATGCGCACAGGAATTTCGAGGCTATCGCCGAAATTCAGAAGGCTTGACACTTACTTTACAGTCGCTAACAAATTTACGCTTAACTACGATGGTTAAAAAATTTTGGTACGCTAAAGCAAAAAATAAAGAACAGCTAAAGAATGAAACTTACCTTCGAAACACCAACAATCTATACTGGAAACAAAAACGCAACACTTACACAGTGTACGCATGAGACAGCCCCAAAATGGCCGATTTATGACGGGGATTCCCACGAGCATACCAGTCCTCTCCCCCGACAAATAA